CACAAAAGCAAAATTAATGTATCCCTGTCTCACAAAAGCAAAATTTTATTTTAAAAGTAAAAAAAAAAAAAAAAAAGCCGGGTGCGGTGGCTTATGCCTGTAATCTCAGCACTTTGGGAGGCTGAGGCAGGGAGATCACGAGGTCAAGAGATCAAGACAAACCTGGCCAATATGGTGAAACCCCGTATCTACTAAAAATACAAAAAATTAGCCGGGCATGGTGACAGGCGCCTGTAATCCCAATTACTAGGGAGGCTGAGGCAGGAGAATTGCTCGAACCCGGGAGATGGAGGTTGCAGTGAGCTGAGATCGCGCCATTGCACTCCAGCCTGGGCAAAAAGAGCGAAACTCCGTCTCCAAAAAAAAAAAAAAAAAAAGACGAGGAATGGAGCCCCGCGGGAGGGGATGTTACTTTGTCTCCCAGGCTGGCCTAGACCGCCAGGCTCAGCGATCCTCCCGCCGCTGCTTCCTGAGTAGCTGGGACCTCAGGCTCCCACCTCTGCTCCCACATTCTTGCTGTGTTTAAGCAGCAGGTGGTGGCCTCACTCCTCCCTGGCCTGAGCACTCCGTCCCGCACCCCAGGCAAAGGCCCTAGGGAAGTGTCTGAAGCTGAGCACAGGGTGGACTCTCCCTCCCAGGTAAATGGAGAATAGAAAGGGAGAGGATTTCTATTCTGTTCTGTGTGCCGTCAGCATGAAAACGTACGTTTCGACCAGGCAGGGCTTTGAATTTTACGTTCTAGTTTGCATCCTTTTTCCAGACAATTCCAGGGCTTTGGAATCACGCTTCAGCCTTCCTGGCCGCTCTCACCTCCAAAACCCGGAGAACAGGCGCTGGGAGAGAGGCTGAGAGAGGCACGGGTCCCTCTGCAGCCCGGTACTCTACTGATAGTAAAGGGCAAGGTCTCTCCGCCTTGCGCCCCGCCCCTACCTCGCCCAGGCCCCGCCCCTACCTCGCCCAGGCCCCGCCCACCTCCTCGTTGGCTCCACCCAGGCCTGGTTTCCTGCGCGCGCAGATTCACGCAGCCCAGGAAGCAGATCACGTGGAGTGAAAGTCACGCTGCTGCGGTGAGTTTTGCTCTGTGTTGTATTAAGTCTGCGCTCCCCGGTCCCGGCACTTCTGTACCTGGAACGTGGGGTCCCCGTACACCTGAAAGTTCTACCCCTTCTTCCTTCCCCCAGAGCAAACGCAGACGTTCTCCTGGGAATTCAGAAGTCGCTTCTTTTTGGTTTAAAGTCGCCCTGAGGGTGGTCCCATTACCAGTCTTTCTGCTATAGGGCAATGCATACACTTCCTGACGCGTAGTTTTCCTGCTCAAAACCGTTTTTTGACTCCTTCCGCACTGCGCTTTTTAAAGTCCTCACCCCGAGAGGTAGATTCCCACCCTGCGCGTCTCCCAGACTGACTCTCATCGGTCCCTGGAGCACAGCGCCACGACCCCAGTCCCTGGGAGCCCGCGGTCTCTGCCTGATCCTGCGATCCTGCGGATCCCACCCTTGTCCGAAGGTGTCGTCGCCCCCCACCTTCCTGCTCCTCATGCTGGGCCCTGCTGCTCCCCAGGTGTCGCCTCCACAGTCACCGCTTTCTCTGAGCCCACGTTGGGGAGGTGCCCGGGGCCTGTACTGTGACACGGGGTGTTCTTGCCTGCCCAGCTCCAGCCCTTGGAAAATGTGCTCCTCCCGGACGCAAGCGTCTTACTCCAAACCCTCGTGTGATTGGGCCAAAGGGATCAGGAGACAGAGAGAGGGACTGACCTGAGACAGAAAAGAAGAATGAGAAAGACACAAATCAGATGGCAAAGTAGAGGATGGTGAGGGATTTCCCAAGAAACAACAAAATTGAGAAAGAAAAGATAAGAAAGCAAGAGGAGAAAGGCAACGGGAGAAATGTAGAGAAAAGCTAGATGTACAGAGAAATGAAGGATAGACAGCAAGGTATGGAGAGGGGCAGAGGTGTGGAGGCTCATCAGAGTGAGGAAGAGGAGGAGGGATTTGGAGCCAGGACAAACAGAGCAGAGTGGTGCTGGTGGCAGGAAGAACAGCAGGAGAACCACAGTAGGGAGGACACCTGGGGATCTGGGGTGCCAGAGAGGGGCCACAGGGTTACAACAGGGAAGAGAGAATTTAACAGGGAGAGCAGAGGAGGCGAAGAGATGGGAGAAGAGGCGGAAATCTATGGAGGTTGAGGACGATCGAAAGATTGGGGAGAAGGAGCAAAGGAGCAACAAGAGGTTAAATAAGTTGCGAGGATAGAGTCCGGGTAATTTTTGTATTTTAGTAGAGACAGGGTTTCACCATGTTGGCCAAGCTGGTCTCGAACTCCTGACCTCAGGTAATGCACCCACCTTGACCTCCCAAAGTGCTGGAATTACAGGTGTAGCCACGGCAGCTGTCCACCCACGTATTCTTTTTTTTTTTTTTTTTTCTTTTTTTTTGAGACGGAGTCTCGCTCTGTCGCCCAGGCTGGGAGTGCAGTGGCCGGATCTCAGCTCACTGCAAGCTCCGCCTCCCGGGTTCACACCATTCTCCTGTCTCAGCCTCCCGACTAGCTGGGACTACAGGCGCCCACCACCGAGCCCGGCTAGTTTTTTTTTTGTATTTTGTAGTAGAGGCGGGGTTTCACCGTGTCAGCCAGGATGGTCTCGATCTCCTGACCTCGTGATCCACCCGTCTCGGCCTCCCAAAGTGCTGGGATTACAGGCTTGAGCCACCGCGCCCGGCCCACCCACGTATTCTTGATTGAAGAAATTTGCTTATGTCTTAGTTCTTTTTTTTTCTTTTTTAAATTTTTTTGAGATGTAGTCTTGCTCTGTCGCCCAGGCTGGAGTGCAGTGGGGCAATCTCCGCTCACTGCAAGCTCTGCCTCCCGGGTTCACACCATTCTCCTGCCTCAGCCTCCTGAGTAGCTGGGACTACAGGCGCCCGCCACCACGCCTGGCTAATATTTTCTATTTTTAGTAGAGACGGAATTTCACTGCCTCAGCCAGGATGAACACTTCTGCATTTTATAAATGTTACTGAGATTTTCTTCTAAGGAAGAATTCAATGTTGGAAGTCAATTTCATCAGAACCTTTCAAAAGAATCTTTAGCCCAGGTATGTGAAAGATGCTTCTCTAATTTTAAGGATGGAGTGATAAGACCAAGCCTTCCCATTAGCCTTTCCAGGCCCCCATGTAAGAATTCAGGCACACCTTCTCACTCATCTCAGACCTTCTCAGGGTAACATGGTGAAAATGTTTCCCACTCTGAGCCCCAGTGAGCCCCCCTGCAACTTGATGATGAAGGGCTAGACCAGAAAAGCTCAACTGGAGGTTGACCAGGAGTGATCCCGACCCCTGAAATCATTGGCAAAATAAAGTGCAGGTCTGGGTGTCGCTTTTCTTCTGGGAGAGAGGAGTGCCCAGTTGTAATTAGAATTTTCAATAAGATGCATATCCCGGCCCGCGGGATCGTCGAAGCAGGCCCTGGAGGAGGGAGTGGGAATTTGGGGGACAAGAGACACGAGAAATAGAGACAAGACAGTGCTCTGATCAAGTCTTGTTTAATGGCGGTAATGCAATGCCTTATATACACTTGGAGGGGAAGGGGTTGGGCCAGAGGCGGAGATGATCTCATCACGGAGGGTGTGGCTAGGTAGGTATTGGTTTCTCTGGTCGGTCGTCATGTTGCGCCTGCGCTGTCAGTTGGTAATTTTCCCGGGCACAGGATGGTGCCTGCGCTACAAAGTAACAATTTTCGCCGCGCGGGGGGAAAAACAGGTGAAGAAAAGCAGGAAGAGCGCCATCTTTTATGAGGTATTGATACAAAAGAGAAACAACAAATCTAGGGAGGAGGTAGAAGGTGGAAAGGAATAGAGCTCGGGCGTTTAATCAGTAATTATTATTTGCTATGGCCGGGGCGCGCAGCTCCGGACAGATGCAGTACCCCAAAAATGAAAAAAAAAAAAAAGCAGAAGAATGGAAGAAACAGAGTTATACCCTCAGAAACAGAGAGCATCTTCGGAGGCCTTTGTCTGTATGAGGATGTCACAGCTGCGTCTAAAGCAGGTCGTGTCAGTCCCTGGCAGGGAACCCTCCACCGGCTTCCCGTGTTCCCCGGGACAAAAGCCCAACGCCTCACTGTGGCTCCACAGCCCTGTGTCCAGGGCCCCTGCCAGTGTCCAGCCTCTTCCTGGGAGCTTGCCTTCATCTCCTGACTCCCTCTGCCCCTGTCACATTTGCTTTTCTCTTTTCCCAGATATCAAAACCCTTCGTGTCTCAGTTCACTGTCCCTGCTCTTATTCTGTTTCTAAATGAAGATGGCACTGTCCCTTTCTCCTTCAGGTCTAGGCTCAGAGATGCCTCCCATGCCCTCCCACCCCCATTTAAAGTTCCCTCTGCCTGTCAGTGTCTATCAGATTACTCAAGTTTTCTTATCTCTGTGTCAATCCCATCAGAAATGCACTTTTTAATTTTATTTTAATTTTTTTTATTTTTCAAACAGAGTCTCACTGTGTCCTCCAGGCTGTGAGTGCAGTCTTGTGATCTTGGCTCACTACAACCTCTGTCTCCTGGATTCAAGTGATTCTTGTGCCTCAGCCTCCCAAGTAGCTGAGATTGCAGGTGTATGCCTGCACACCCAGCTAATTAATTGTATTTGTATTTGTATTTTGTTTTATTTTATTTTTGAGTCTTACTCTGTCACCCAGGCAGGAGTGCAATGGCACATTCTCGGCTCACTAAGAACTCCATTCCTCAGGTTCAAGTGATTTTCCTACCTCAGCCTCCCATGTAACTGGGATTACAGATGCCCACCAAGCCTGGCTACTTTTTGTATTTTTAGTAGAGACGGGGTTTCATCATGTTGGCCAGGCTAGTCTCGAATTCCTGACCTCAAGTAATCCACCCACCTCAGCCTTTCAGAGTGCTAGTGTTACAGGCATGAGCCATGGTGCCCAACCCAATTTTTGTATTTTTAGTAGAGACAGGGGTTCACCATGCTGGCCAGGCTTGTCTCGAACACCTGAGCTCAAGTTATGTTTCTATCTCGGCTTCCTAAGTAGCTGGGACCACAGACACACAGACGTGCACCACCATACATGGCTAAGCTTTTGCGTTTTTGGTAGAGATCTCCTGAAGAGATCTCCTGAAGAGCTCATCCCAGCCCAGCTCCCCACTGCTGCAGTGTGTGTGTGTGTGTGTGTGTGTGTGTGTGTGTGGTGGCTTCTCCAGGAGGGGAGTTTTCCTGTAGGAATTTTTTGTTCCTGGTGCGGTGGGCAGCAGAGGGGACCGTATTTCCTCAGGGTGAGGTCTCCTTTGTATGTGGCATTGTGTTTCATGGATGGGGTGTGTTGTTTGCAAGCAATAAACAACATATTTTTAACATTCAAGATTGAATTCTAAAGACTCTTGGTCCATGAGGAAGAAACCCGGAAGACGAAGAGGAAAGCAAAGGAGTCAGGGATGGCTCTTCCTCAGGTGAGATGATATTCTCGGTGGATTGTTCTGTCTCCTTCCTTTCAGAAACACTGGGGCTTGGAGTTGGGAATCTTCTCTGAGTCTGAAGCATCCTATCTGACAGGTTTGCTCACACTCACCCATGCCTTCCCTCAGTCCCTCTCATCGCACTTAGATTCCGTCTCTCATGACCCAGTGACATGAACTTGGGAAGAGGCGGCACTGGGCATGGGCCTGGGAAGGGCTCACACCAGACATGGATGGAGACGGGGTGAGGGTCCCGTGGTGTCAGTGCTGTTGGGCAGCAGGGATTGTTCAGGGGCCACATCTGGATGCTCTGTCAGGTCTCTGTGGACCAGGATTAGAGCAGCTGCCAATGGAAGTCACCTATTAATGTGCACAAAATACGTGGTAAATTCTAGAAAAGGAGACCAATAAGGGAAAATCTTTTCTCCCTGACTTTATACTACATTTTTAGGTAATTGAGTGAGTTACTGTGTTTCTGACTCCAAAAATCTTATTAATTAGAACAGAAAGTTCATACATAGACATGAATAATACATGAATGATTCCTTCATTATTTTAAGAATATGAAATCAACATAAATAGCAGGAGATTCATTAAATCATTCTTAGCACATTTAACTCACAAAGACTGTGGTGTTACTGTGGAGAGACTTGTGAAACAAGTGTTTTTTGTAAAAGTGGTTACAATTTTTCTCAAATATGGGAGTAGAGTATTTCTTTTTTATCCTAGAGGATAAAGTCATATTCTCATTCCATCTATTATTATTATTATTATTATTATTATTATTTCTTCTGAAACAGAGTCTTGTTCTGTTGCCCAGGCTGCAGTGCAATGGCATGATCTCAACTTACTGCAACCTCTGCCTCACAGGTTGAAGCGATTCTCCTGTCTCAACCAACCTAGTAGCTGGGTTTATAGGCGTGGGCCACCATACCCAGCTAATTTTTTTTGTATTTTTAGTAGATACGCGGTTTCACCATGCTGGCCAGGCTGGTCTCAAACTCCCTACCTCAGGCGATCCGCCTGCCTCGTCCTCCCAAAATGCTGGGATTACAGGTTTGAGCCACCGTGCTTGGCCAAATATTGCTACTTTTTATATTTTTAAAACCTTTACATAAATAAATATATATATACACGTACACACACATCTGTATATATACATACATATAAACTGACACATACATATATATTTTGAAAATCTGGGGAAAATGACAACCCTTTTTATTAACATCTAATTTCTTGTGTGTCTGTGTAGGTTTTATTATTTTTCGGACATATATATACGAAGTAGATTTTCATACTTTGAGTAATTCTGTTTTCGTCTATTTTATTTTCTTTTGAGATAAGGTCTCACTCTTGTCCAGGCTGGAGTGCAGTGGCATGATCTTAGCTCACTGCAACCTCTACCCTCAGGCTCAAGTCATCCCCCAACCTCTGCCTCTGAGGTAGCTTGGTACCACATGTGGGTACCACCGTGCCTGGTTAATTTTTTTTTTTTTTTTTTTTTTTTTTGAGATGGAGTCTTACTGGAGTGCAGTGTTGCGATCTCAGCTCACTGCAACCTCTGCTTTCCTGGTTCAAGCAATTCTCCTGCCTCAGCCTCCTGACTAGCTGGGAATACAGGCAAGTTCCACCTCACCAGGATAATTTTTTGGTATTTTCAGTAGAGATGTGATTTCACCTTGTTAGCCAGAATGGTCTCAATTTCCTAACCTCATGATCTACCCACTTCACCCCCCCGAAGTGTTGAAATTACAGGCATGAGCCACCTCACCCAGCTTTTTTTTTTCTTTTTGAGGCAAATTCTTGGTTTCCCAGGCTGGAGTGCAGTGGCACGAACTTGGATCACTGCAACCTCTGCCTCCCATGTTCAAGTGATTCTTCTGTTTTGGCCTCCCGAGTAGCTGGGATTACAGTCAAATGCCATCACCCCTGGGTAATTTTTTTGTATGTTTAGGAGAGACAGTGTTTCACCATTTTGGCCACACTGGTCTTGAACTCCTGACCTCAGGTGATCCGCCTACTTCAGCCTCACAGCGTGCTGGGGTTACAGGCATGAGCCACCATGCCCAGCCCCACCAATTATTATTAAATATATGTTGTTACATTTAAACATCACATGATGTATATATTTGTTTTTTGGTAACACCCCAAGCAAAGCTGCAGCTTAGGTCCTTGGCCATACAGCATCTCCTTTCCCTGTGACATCCTCCACCCTCTTTCCAACCTCACTGGGGAGCCACTATTGTCAATTCTGTGCTGGGATTACAGGCATGTGTCCCTGCGCCCGGCCTAAATTTTACTGTGGATGTTATCATCTTCAAAGACATCAGTCGTGCTCTCTCACCTACATAATGAATGTCACTTGGTGTGTCAATAAAAGTTTCAAACATTTCTATAAAAGGAACCCTATGTTGATTTTTTATTTATTTCTTGCGTTTTTCACAAACAGAAATTCATACTGAGAGTGTGTCTTGACGTCTTCTCAAAGTGTAATAAAGACATCATGTGGTGAAAAATCCCTTACTCGGGTGTCAGAACATTCACTACAACTAAATCCATGCTTTGGCCTCTTTCCTCTTCTCATTTTCGGTAAAGATAAGAACTCCTCCCACAACCATTTGCTTAAAATGTGTTTTCATTTCAGGGTCTATTGACATTCAGGGATGTGGCCATAGAATTCTCTCAGGAGGAGTGGAAATGCCTGGACCCTGCTCAGAGGACTCTATACAGAGACGTGATGGTGGAGAATTATAGGAACCTGGTCTCCCTGGGTGAGGATAACTTCCCTGCTGGGGATGTGCCCTTGTGTATCTTTGCCTTTTCTCTTTTGTTGCCTCTTCGGAGCCTCATCCTTGCTTGACTAAAATGGAAGCCATATTGATTTTGAAATGAAAAGCTTCATGATGTAGCATCTGGATTTTCACTGTCCCGTTTGTTTAGGTCTTCTGCTTTCTTCATGATACCTCAGTGAGGTTTCCAGGACTAAAGTAGGCATAAAAGCTTAGGGAAGGCTGGCACTTTGGGAGGCCGAGGCATGTGGATCACTACAGGTCAGGAGTTCGAGACCAGCCTGGCCAAGATGGAGAAACGCCATCTCTACTAAAAATACAAAAATTAGCCAGTCGGGCCGGGCGCGGTGGCTCAAGCCTGTAATCCCAGCACTTTGGGAGGCCGAGACGGGCGGATCACGAGGTCAGGAGATCGAGACCATCCTGGCTAACACGGTGAAACCCCGTCTCTACTAAAAAATACAAAAAACTAGCCGGGCGAGGCGGCGGGCGCCTGTAGTCCCAGCTACTCGGGAGGCTGAGGCAGGAGAATGGCGTGAACCCAGGAAGCGGAGCTTGCAGTGAGCTGAGATCCGGCCACTGCACTCCAGCCTGGGCGACAGAGTGAGACTCCGTCTCAAAAAAAAAAAAAAAAAAAATTAGCCAGTCATCGTGGCACATACATGTAATCCCAGCTCCTAGAAAGGCTGAGGAAAGAAAATCACTTGAAGCCAGGAGGTCAAGGTTGCAGTGAGCAGAGAACACACCACTGCACTCCAGCCTGGGCGATACAGCAAGACTCTCTTACAGAAACAAAAACAAAAATCAAACCTTACAGTAGACTTTAAACATATCCAGTTTCCTGTCTGCTTCTCCTGTGCTTTTGATTTAGTAGTTTTTGGAAGAGAGCTCCATGTCCACATATTACATATTACAATACTCCCCAAGCATTCAGAAGGAGGCTGTCAGAGGAGGAATTTATAAAACCTTTTCCTAGATCATCTGCAGTGTCTTCTTTCCTACAGAAACATAGGGTTGGGACTCCAGAAAAGCTCCAGCACGTCATAGTCATTTCTTTTTATAAGCAGGAGCCTCTGACCTGTTAAGCCTGTTAAGCAGGAGTCTCCACGTTGCAGCAAGGGTTCAAGAGAAGCCTGGCCAACATGGTGAAACCCCGTCTCTATTAAAACTACAAAAATCAGCTGTGCATAGTGGTGTGCACCTGTAATCCCAGCTACTTGGCCAGCTGAGGCCGGAGAATCACTTGAACCTGAGAGATGCAGGTTACAATGAGCCAAGATCACGCTGCTGCAGTCAAGCCTGGGTGACAAAGGGAAACTCTAGACTGAAGAGGAAGAATCACTTGAGGTAGCAGAATCGTGCCACTATACTCCAGCCTGGGTGTTAGAGCATGACTGGAACTGAAAAACAAACAAAAAGGGAAATAGCTTACACTGGGAGGCTTAAGACACAGACATTTATTTCTCATGAATTTGGAAAGTGGGAAATTCAAGAGTGAGGTGCCAGCCAAATTGGTTACTTGTGAGAGCCTTCTTCATGGTTTAGTTCAGCCATCTTCCTCCTGTGTTTTAATATGGTGGAAAGAGGAACAGGCAATAGCTCTTTAATGTCTCTTTATAAATGCACTGGTCCTATTACAAGTAGTCAACACCCATGACTCAGTTCTCTCAAGGTCTGCATCTGCAGAAACACCCTATTAGAGAATACCAAATCTACTGAAGCTTATTTGAAAAATATTTATCTTATTTTATTTTTTTGAGAAGGAATATCATCCTGTTATCCAGGCTGGGGTACAGTGGCATGATCTTGGCTCACTGCAACCTCCACCTCCCGGGTTCAAACGATTCCTGCCTCAGACTCCCAAGTAGCTGGGATTACAGGCACCTGCCACCATGCCCAACTAATTTTTTTTGTATTTTTAGTAGAGATGGGCTTTCACCTTGTTGTCCAGGCTGGTCTTGAACTCCTGGCCTCATGATTCACCTGCCTCAGCCTGCCAAGGTTCTGGGATTACTGGTATGTGTCACAGCACCTGGCCATTAGTCAATTCTTATTCTTTATAATGCTGTGTATTTTCTTGACTTCATATATCAGAAGGTAGTGATCTTAACATGTATTTCAGGTCTTATGTTTTGTACTGGTGGTAAGTACAAGTTTTGGCTTTTTTCTTAAGAGGGAATTGTTTAGAATTCTTCAGCCTGTATAAACTACTTGTTATTTTCTTGCTTGTTTTATAATGGGTTGCAATATTTGATTAATTGATTTTTATGATTTTACAAGTGACTTTTCAGTATGTGGTATGCAATATAACTGACACACTCTACTCGTTAATGTCATCAAGTGGCATTAGGTGCAGTGGCTCATGCCTCTAATCCCAGGACTTTGGGAAGCCAAGACATGCGAATCACCTGAGGTCAGGAGTTTGAGACCAGCCTGGCCAACATGGTGAAACCCCATCTCTACTAAAAATACAAAAATTAGTGGGCTGGGCGTGGTAGCTCACACCTGTAATCCCAACACTTTGGGATGCCAGGGTGGGCGGATCACAGGGTCAGGAGATCAAGACCGTCCTCGCTTACATGGTGAAACCCCATCTCTACTAAAAATACAAAAAATTAGCCAGGTATGGTGGCAGGCACCTGTAGTCCTGGCTGCTTGGGAGGCTGAGGTGGGAGAATGGTGTGAACCTGGGAGGCGGAGCTTGCAGTGAGCCAAGATCACGCCACTGCACTCCAGTCTGGGAGACAGAGCAAGACTCTGCCTCAAAAAAAAAAAATATTAGGTAGGGGGCATGGTGGTAAGTGCCTGTAATCCCAGGTGCTCAGGAGGCTGAGGCAAGAGACTCACTTGAACCCAGGAGGCAGAGGTTGCAGTAAGCCAAGATCTCCAGGCTGGGTGACAGTGAGACTCCGTCTCAAAAAAATAAAAATACTAAAAACTAAAAAAAAAAGTCACAACATGCCTGTTACTCATGGATATAGTTAATTTTGTAACAGTTATTCAGAAAAATATGGTATTAACATTTTATTTTTTTTGAGATGGAGTCTTATACTCTGTTGCCCAGGGTGGAGTGCAGTGGCATGATCTCAGCTCACCACAATCTTTGTCTCTTTAGTTCAAGCGATTATCCTGTCTCAGCCTCCCAAGTACATAGGATTACAGGCACCCGGGACCATGACCAGCTAGTTTTTGTATTTTTAGTAGAGACAGGGTTTTGTCATGTTGGCCAGGCTAGTCGAACTCCTGACTTGAGGTGATCCGCCTGCCTAGGCCTCCCAAAGTACTGGGATTACAGGTATGAGGCACCACCCTCTGCCTTTTTTTGCTTTTTGGGATGGAGTCTCACTTTGACACACAGGCTGGGGTGCAGTGGTGTGATGTTGGCTCACCGCAACCTTTGCATCTTGGCTTAGCGCGATTCTTGTACCTCAGCCTCCAGAGAAGCTGGGAATACAGGTGTGGGCCACCATACCTGGCTAATTTTTGTAATCTTTTGTTATTTTGTCAATACCATGATTGTTTGACAATACAGAATTTCCATTGATCTTGACTATCCTTACAACAGCTTGTTGTGAATTATTTACCAATATAGTATATTGTCTGGTTTTTTAGCAGTTATTTGTATATACTAAATATGCTGTAAATATGAAGAATGTATGTTTTTCTTTTTTGATGTGACACTGATATGCTTTTTGCACAGTGTGATACACTTTAGAGTGTCAGTGGAAAAACACTTCTTACTTTAGGCTTATGCATGTTTGTGCCCTGTCAGTGTTTTGTCAATAATATTGGAAATGGCTTCCATGGAAATGATTTGAAGTACATGGAATCGTCCTTTATTTATTAAAGAATCTTACTCCTTTTGTGTTCCTAAACTTTGAAGCTCAAGTTCGGGAAGTTTAAAATAAGTATTGTTTTTTGTGTCATAGTTACATATTTCAGTATTATATACCATCTGTACTTAATTGGAAACCTATTGGTGTTTATATTTCGCAGATATCTCTTCCAAATGCATGATGAAGACATTGTCATCAACAAGGCAAGGCAATACAGAAGTGATCCACAAAGGGACATTACAAAGACAAGCAAGTCATCACATTGGAGAATGTTGCTTCCAGGAAATTGCGACGGATATTCATGACTTTGTTTTTCAGTGGCCAGAAGATGAAACAAATGACCATGAAGCACCCATGACAGAAATGAAAAAGTTGACAGGTAGTACAGATCGATGTGATCAAAGGTTTGCTGGAAACAAGCCTATTAAAGATCAGCTTGGATCAAGCTTTCATTCACATCTGCCTGAACTGCACATATTTCAGCCCAAAGGGAAAATTGGCAATCAAGTTGAGAAGTCTATCAACAATGCTTCCTCAGTTTCAACATCCCAAAGAATTTCTTGTAGGCCCAAAACCCACATTTCTAATAAGTATGGGAATAATTCCCTCCATTCTTCATTACTCACAAAAAAACGGAAAGGAAACATGAGAGAAAAATCTTTCCAATATGTTGACAGCAGCAAAGCCTTCAATTGTAACTCACTCTTTAAAAAACATCAGATAATGCATTTAGGAGAGAAACAGTATAAATGTGATATATGTGGCAAGCTCTTTAATCAGAAGCGATACCTTGCATGCCATAGTAGATGTCACATTGGTGAGAAACCTTACAAGTGTAATGAATGTGGCAAGACCTTCAGTCACAATTCATCCCTCTTCATTCACAAAGCACTTCATACTGGAGAGAAACCTTATGAATGTGAAGAATGTGACAAAGTTTTCAGTCGCAAATCACACCTTGAAAGACATAGGAGAATTCATACTGGAGATAAATCTTACAAATGTGAAGAATGTGACAAACTTTTCAGTCACAAATCATATCTTGAAAGACATAGGAGGATGCATACTGGAGAAAAACCATACAAATGTAAGGTTTGTGACAAGGCTTTCGTGTGTAATTCATATCTGGCAATACATACTACAATTCACACTGGAGAGAAACCTTACAAGTGTATTGAATGTGGCAAGTTTTTTAATCAACGCTCAACCCTTGCCTACCATCATAGACTTCATACTGGAGAGAAACCTTACAAATGTGAAGAATGCGATAAAGTTTTCAGTCGCAAATCACACCTTGAAAGACATAGGAGAATTCATACTGGAGAGAAACCATACAAATGTAAGATTTGTGACAAGGCTTTTGCATGTAATTCATATTTGGCAATACATAGTATAATTCACACTGGAGAGAAACCATACAAGTGTAATGAATGTGGCAAATTTTTTAATCAACGATCAACCCTTGCAGGACATCGTAGAGTTCATACTGGAGAGAAACCTTACAAATGTGAAGAATGTGACAAAGTTTTCAGTCGCAAATCACACCTGGAAAGACATAGGAAGATTCATACTGGAGAGAAACCATATAAATGTAAGGTTTGTGACAAGGCTTTCCAGAGGGATTCACACCTCGCACAACATCAGAGAGTTCACACTGGAGAGAAACCTTACACATGTAATGAATGTGGCAAGGTTTTTAGTATAAAAGCAAACCTTGCATGTCATCATAAACGTCATATTGGAGAGAAACCTCACAAATGTTACAAATGTGAAGAATGTGAGAAAGTTTTCAGTCGCAAATCACACCTGGAAAGACATAGGAGGATTCATACTGGAGAGAAACCATACTATTGTAAGGTTTGTGACAAGGCTTTCTGGAGTGAGTCACACCTGGCACAACATCAGAGAGTTCATACTGGAGAGAAACCTTACAAGTGTACTGAGTGTGGCAAGACCTTCCATCGGATATCATCCCTTGTAAGCCATTGTAGGCTTCATACTGGAGAGAAACCTTACAAGTGTAATGAATGTGGCAAGACTTTCACTAGAAATTCAGGCCTTGTAATTCATAAGGCAATTCATACTGGAGAGAAACCTTACAGGTTTTAATCCATCAACATGGACATCTTGCACAACATCAGAGAGTTCATACTGGAGAGAAACCTTACAAGTGTAATGAGTGTGGCAAGACCTTCAGTTACACATCATCCCTTGTATGCCATCATAGACTTCATACTGGAGTGAAACCTTACAAGTGTAATGAATGTGGCAAGGATTTTAATCAACAAGGACATCTTGCACAACATCAGAGAGTTCATACTGGAAAGAAATTTTACAGGTGTAATGAGTGTGGCAAGACCTTCAATCAGATGTCATTTCTTCCACACCGTCATAGACTTCATACTGGAGAGAAACCTTGCAAGTGTAATGAATGTGGCATGGATTTTAATAAAAAATCACACCTTGCAAGTCATCATAGACTTCATAGTGCAGAGAAATCTTACAAATGTGAAGAATGTGACAAAGTTTTCAGTTGCAAATCACAGCTTGAAAGACATAGTAGAATTCATACTGGAGAGAAACCATAGAAATGTAAGGTTTGGGACAAGACTTTTGGGAGTGATTCACACCTGGCAACACACACACACAAAACATACTGGAGAGAAACCTTACAAGTGCAATGAATGTGGCAGAGCCTTTAGTGGGCAGTCACCACTTACTCACCATCAAGTAATCCATGGTATAGGGAAACTTGACTAATGTAATGATTGTCACAAAGTTTTCAGTAACGCTATAATCATTGCAAATCTTTGGAGAATCCGTAATGAAGAGAGATCTTACAAGTGTAATAAATGTGGCAAATTTTCAGACATCGTTCATATATTGCGGTTCATCAGCAAACTCATGCTGAAGAGGAACCTTTTGCCTGTAATCCCAGCACTTTGAGAGGCCAAGACAGGTAGCTCACTGGAGGTCAGGAGTTGGAGAACAGCCTGGCCGAGAGACATGCACCACTTTTTTCAGCCTGTCTTTTCCTTTTTTTTTTTTTTTTGATGGAGTCTTGCTCTGTCACCCTGGTTGGAGTGCATTGGCATGATCTCAGCTCACTGGAACTTCCGCCTCCCAGGTTCAAGTGATTCTCCTGCCTCAGTCTCCAGAGTAGCTAGGACTAAAGTTGTGTGCCACCATGCTTGGGTAATTTTTTTTATTTTTTATTTTTTATTTTTATTTTTATTTTTTTTTTGAGACAGAGTCTCGCTCCGTCACCCAGGCTGGAGTGCAGTGGCTGGATCTCAGCTCACTGCAAGCTCCGCCTCCCGGGTTTACACCATTCTCCTGCCTCAGCCTCCCGAGTAGCTGGGACTACAGGCGCCCGCCACCTCGCCCGGCTAGTTTTTTGTATTTTTTAGTAGAGACGGAGTTTCACCGGGTTAGCCAGGATGGTCTCGATCTCCTGACCTTGTGATCCGCCCGTCTCGGCCTCCCAAAGTGCTGGGATTACAGGTGTGAGCCACCACGCCCGGCCAATTTTTTTTATTTTTACTAGAGACTGGGTTTCACCGTGTTAGCTAGGATGGTCTCGATCATCAAACCTTATGATCCACCCGCCTCCACCTTCCAAAGTGCTGAGATTACAAGCGTGAGCCACCGTTCCTGTCCTGTTTTTGGTTTCTTTAACAAAAAGTTATAGGGATTTTCATGGGTATTGTGTTGAATCTAAATAACATTCAGTTATATAATCATTCAGGAATATTAATTTTTCCAATCAATAAGGGTTGTATATCTATACATGTTTTTAATCATTCTGATCAATGTTTGTAGATTTTAAGGTACAAACTTCTCAAATTTTATGTTTATTCCTAAGTATTTCTGACTTTAAATTCTCTAGCAAATGGAAATGTTTTAATTTTTTTAATTGTTTATTGTTAATGTATGGAAATTCAACTAATTTTTGGTGCTGTTATTTTATTCTGCAAATAGACTGAGTGTATTAGTTCCAGTTGTATTTTGCTTGAAACTTTGTGATTTTCTTTACAGAAGATCATGTCTTCTACAAACAGAACTTTGCTTCTTTCTTTCTGATTTGGATTTATTTGATTTCTTTTGCTATTTCATTGCTCTGGCTAGGACAACCAGTATTTACTGAATAGAAGGGGTGAGAGCATTCTTGCATTATGTGAGATCCTACAGGAAAAGTATTCCTTTTTCCTTGATTGGTTATTTCCACTGCGGTCATTTCATGGATGGTCTTTGTATTGTTGAAGTAAATTTCCTTCTGTATCTATTTTGTTTAGGATTTCCATGATGACTAGATGTTGAATTTTGCGAAATGCTTTTTCTCCATCTATTGAGATGATGTGGTTTTCATCTTTCATTCTGTTCAAGTGGCATATCACATTGATTTGCTTGAATATGTTGAACCATCCTTGCATCTCAGAAATAATTGGCACTCGAATATCTACAATCCTTTTTATACCCTCTTGAATACAGTTTGCTAGTACAAGGAGTCTTCGCGAAATTCAGGGAAAAAAACATAAGAAGATTGTGCATGAATATCACATTTTTTGCGCCAATATAAACTGATACAAATCTATTATAACATCTGAACAGGGTCTAGTTTGAGGCACTCAGAAGGGTAAGACACGAGTTTGAAAAGAAACTTAAAGCAATGTAAATTCTGCAAAATTGAAACAAGAAGAAACATCAAATTTATGATAAGACCAGATGCAGTTGCTCAGGCCTGTAATCCCATCACTTTCAGAGGCCAAGATAGGTGGGTCATGTGAGCCCTGGTATTCAAGAACAGCCTGGGAAGAATGATGAACCCCCTTCTCTACAAAAATACAAAGATTAGCTGAGCATGTTGGCCCATGCCTGTTGCTTCAGCTTCTGTGGAGTCTGCAGCGGGAGGATGGCTTGAGTCTGGGAAGTTGAAGCTACAGGGGGTGATGATCATGCTACTGTACTCCAGTGTAGGTAACTGAGAGAGATAGTGTCTCAAAAAATGAATACGGTGAAGTTCAGGTAGACTGACAATGAAATCATTGATGCTTTATGAAAAGTATGGGGATGATGCTCAAAATAAATCACTAATTTGTAAATAGATAACTCATTTTAAATTGGGAGAAGACAACATAGAAACTGATGCGTGGAGCAGCAGGCAGACCATCCACATCAGTTTTACAGACAAAAATAAATCTTGTTCATGCTGCAATGAAAAGGACTGACAGCTAGCAGCAGAAACAATAGTTAGGAGTTTGAGACCAGCCTGGGTAACATGGTGCATCCCTGTCTCTACTGAAAATACAACAATTAGTTGGGCATGGTGGCTGTTGCCTGTTATCCCAGCTACTCGGGGTCTGAGACAGGAGAATCACTTGAACCTGGGAGGCTGAGGTTGCAGTGAACTGAGATGGCGCCATTGGACTCCAGCCTGAGCAACATCAGTGAAACTCCAAGAAAAAAAAAGGTTTGGCTCCTTTCTTCTGTCCACCATCATGGTGTGTGCTTGACTCCACTTCTTGGCATGTCTTCTCACAAGACTTTCAGGATTACATGATTCGTGGCTAAGAAAAGCAAAATCCTCTTATTCCTCAATGGATTCAGATGAAAACTGGTAGTAAGACCAGGTACTACTGTAAAATGAGACATTGTATAAGAGCCACGCTGGGTGTATAAGGAATTGCATATGAGATGGCACACGTCTTTACGCTGTCTGAAGATCACAATCACGTTACCATATCAAGCTGAAAATATCACCACTATCTAGAAAGTTAGACGTTTTATTGAGAATGTATTTTTTCTCTCTGGATCTGTTGTGAACACCTTGGTTGGCTGGGTTCAGTAATAAATTTTATGTGAAACCTTTCATATAAGAGTATATAAAACAATATCAGCCAGTCACAGTATTATGGCTGTCACAAGCTTGTGAAAGGAAATTCAGAATTACTAAGCCAAAGGGAAAAGTCAGTCTGGGAACTGCATCAGACAAACCTGCCTTCTGTTTTATTCCTAAACAAGATAGCTACAAAGATTTTTTTTAAAAAGCTACATACGCCCCTCACAAACTGGGAGCCTCAAGATCTCCACCCTAAAATAGTTCTGTTGAATTTCACTCTGGCAATATAAACTAATACCTTATCTCCACAGGTGTGGGACAGAACCCATCCCTCTGCACACCTGCGACAAATGTCTATCTGATTGCTTCCCCTGTCCTATTGTTTATGTAAAAATGCAGGTCACTGAGCCAGTCTAAGGCATAAGTGACTATTCCTCCTCCCCCTCTGAAATATAAATTGTGTATTTAGCGAAAGGCTGCTGATCAAAGACTCAAGGAATCTTTTGTTGATCATTTGTTGTCTACCTGTGACCCAGAAACTCCCCAATTCCAGTTATTCCACCTTTCCAGACCGGACCAATGTATGTGTTATATGTACTGATTGCTGTCTCGTGTGTCTGTAAAATGTGTGAAACCAAACTGCAGCCTCAACACCACGCACGGGTACACATCGTCAGGACCTCCTAGGTTCGTGTTATTTGGCCTTAGATTCCCCCTGTCCCCAGACCCAGGACGCATGTGTTTCCTTTTTCTTCACTTCTATTAAAGATGGGTCTCATTCTGTTGCCCAGGAAGGAGAGTGGTGACAGGATCACAGCTCACTGCAGCTTCAACCTCCTGGGTTCAAGGGATCCTTCCACCTCAGCCTCCAAAGTTGCTGGGACCACAGTCTCATGCCACTGCAGCAGGCAAAATTTTGTGTTCCTGGTAGAGATGAGCTTTCACCATGTTGCCCAAGATGGTCTCGAACTCCAGGGCCGAAGCAATCCAGCTGCATCGGCCTCCCAAAGTGTTGGGATTGCAGGCATAAGCCACCACGCCCAGCTTGTTTCTTAATTAAAAAAAGAAAAATAGGCCAGGTGCTGTGGCTCATGCCTGTAATCCCAGCATTTTGGGAGGCCATGGTGGGCGGATCACTTGAGGTCAGGTATTTGAGAACAGCCTGGCTAACATGGTGAATCCTCGTCTCGACTAAAATATAGAAATTAGCTTGGTTCGTTGGTGAGTGAGTGAGTGTAAAGCTACTCTGGAGGCTGAGGCAGGAGAATGGCTTGAATTCGGGAGGGGGAGGTTACAGCGAGCCAAGAGCATGCAACCGCACTCCAACTGGGCAACTGAGTGAGATTCCATCTAAAATAAAAAACTTCTCAAATAAGCTTTGGTAGAATCTTATGAGCTCACATCATTGTTTTCCAAATATAACATGTGTTCAAAATTTTCTTCTTTGACCCCAAATTTATATATAGATATATATATATATTTAACCTACTATAATAGTTTTTCTCTGAAATGTATTGTGTTCCGTTTGCATTGAGGACTGCATATATAGTTTTTCTCTGAAATTTATTGTGTTCCATTTGCATTGAGGACTGCATGCTTTCTAGTGTGTATCATATATTGGAAACATCTTCTAGTACCTGATAAGTGATTTTAGGTTGTTTTAGTGTGTACCTAATAAAAATATCAAGGAACTTTTTCTTTATGCTAACATCAAAATTTAGTTCAGGTAACCTATTATTCCATTTTCTTTCTTTATGTCATCTGATTAAATCGTGAGCTGTGAGCTTCTAAGTAAAAGTTCCCCTCAAGTTCCTCTGGTCCATAATATTCTTTGCAGATGTTGAAGGATGGGCTGGATTGACTTGGAACCTTTTTCCAGCAGAGCCCTTGTGTTCATGAAGAAAACATTTGCTCAGATCTGATTTGTACCACTGCCTCTCTTTCGGTGTTTTAAACACCTGTAGCTATGTGTTCACAATTGTGTTTAGTTTCAACGTATTACCATCATTTTTCTAGGAAAATAATTACATGTTTAGATTCATGCCATGAGAACTTTAGACATAGAAAGAGACATTTCATTTGCTTAGGTGTATAACATGGTCCTGGATTTTTTTTTCCTTTTTTTGAGACAAGAGTGTCACTCTGTCACCTATGCTTGAGTGCAGTGACATTATCTTGCCTCATTGCAACATCCACCTCCCAGGCGCAGTGATCTACCCCACTCAGCCTCCCAAATAGCTGAGACCACAGATGCATACCACAAAACACGGCTAATTTTTTGTGCTTTTGGTAGAGACAGGGTTTCACCATGTTTCCCAGGTTGATTTCAAACTCCTGGGCTCAAGTGATCTACCCACTTCAGCCTCCCAAAGTGCTGGGATTACAGGGGTGAGCCACCATGCCCGGCCCATCCTGGAATTTTCTAGAGAAGGAAGACCAACACAGTCTATTGGCACTTCCAGGCCATCACATGAGAATCAGCCACACCTCTTTCCAACACAACTCAGAGCTTCTCAGGATAACTTGGTGAAATATCTCCTGCTCAGAACAACAGTGACTCAACCTGTAATGTTCAGGTGAGGAATAAGAGCAGAAAAGCTCAGAGTGACACTGACCCCTGAAATACTTCACCAAATAGTGTGTGGTATTTCCTGCAGGAGAGGGTCCTGCTCAGGTGTAATTTGAATTTTAAATAGATTCCTGTCGTCCAAAAATGTAAAAATCACAAATACCAGAATGGATAAAACAGGGGATTAGACTCAAATCATCTTGAACTTACTCTTGTCTCTGTCCACACCCACTGCTTTTCCTTATATCATCTCACAGCTTTAACCCACCTACCCATGTCCCCTGCAGGCCTCTCCCCTGAGCTCTACAATCCTGTGTCCAGTTGTCTACTGAGCTCTCTGTAAGGACATCAAACAGGCATCTCCACCTTCACGTGTCCATAAGTGACTTCCTAAACCCCCAGACAAATTCCCTTACTGTCCTACGTGTCTCAGATGAGGGTGACAGTTTACTTCTGGAAGTTTAGCCAAACTTGACAGCATGTATTTTAAGTATGGGGGATAAATTACATTGTTTGTAAGTGTTGTAATTTATACTGTAAAGAGAAAGTTGCATGTATACATAAAAGGAGTGAGAAAATACATCATTTCCAAAATTCTTTTGAGGTGTGGGGGAAAAATGTTTCAAGACCTCATCCCTATGGATCTGTGCTCCCAGGACCCCTCTGACCTCACCTCCTGCCTGCGTCCTCCTCACTCCCTCTGCTCCAGCCACGCAGGCCTCTTTCCTTTTTCTGGGGCTGAGGTTTCTCCCATCTCAGGGCCTTCACCTGTGCTGTCCCTCTGCCTAGGACTCTGGGCACTCAGCTGCAAGTGACAAGCAGCGTTTCTTCCCCAAGTCTTTGTTCTGACATGACTTTCTCTATGGAAAACTTTGTGATCTCCCACAGCCCCCCATTTGTCATGACAGCTCCACCTTCACCCCCACCTCTGGTCCATGTTGCCTGTTCTGTGTGACTCTTTTTGTTCCTTCGCTGTTCACTGGATCCTGGTGAGAACAAGTCTCTAAGCAGAGAGCAGAGCCAGAAGGTGGGGCTGTGCTGGGCTGGCGCCCTCTGAGTGGAACTCAAACTTGGCTTCACATTAGGGTTCTCAGACGTTTTGCAAATACATCTTTTATGCTGTTTTATCAGAGATTGCTATTTTCACAGTATGGGACCCACCCTCAACAATACCTACAATGACACAGGTGATTCTCATCTGTCTCCAGCATTGACCGTCAAGGCAGTTTCCTCCATGTTGAGAGCTGAGATCAGCCTGTGATCCACAGGGAGGTGAGGGGGCTGTGCTCTGTGTGGGGTTTGGTTAGGGCCAGATCTGTGCCCTGAAGATCTGTGCCCTGCTGCAGCGTGTGTGTGTGGACTTTTCCAGGAGGGAGCAAGATCTGAAAACGGGTCAAAATTACCCTTGTATGTCCTCCTGTGCCACTTTCTTATCTCTGCATGACCTCTGGTGCAGTGGGCAGCAGAGGACCATCTTTCTCCCGGGTGAGCTCTCCCCTGTGTGAGTTTTGTCACAGGAAAGGATTGAGTGATTTCTAAAACTTAAATCTCGTATTTTTTTTACAAACAGGATTGATTTCCAAAGACTCATGTGAGGAAGCCACCAAGAAGAGCAAAGAAAAGGATCCAGGGATGGCTGTTCCTCAGGTGAGTGATATTCCTCGGTGGATTCTGCTGTCTCTTTGCTTTCTGAAATGTCAGGTATTGTAGTAGCCAGTCTTCTGTGAGTCTGAAGCGTCCTGTCTCACACGTTTGCTCGCACTCACTCATGCCTTTTCTCAGTCCTTATCATCTTCATTTAAATTCCATCTCCTATAACCTAGTGAATGAGCTTGTGAAGAGGCTCCGCGGGGCATGGTCCTGGAAAGGGCTCACGCCAGACATGGATGGAGATGGGGTGTGGACCCCGTGCTGTCAGTGATGTTGGGCAGCAGGGATGGTTCAGAGACCACATCTGGATGAACGTTTAGCTCTTTGTAAACCTGATCAGAAAAACCATATATGAAAGTCATTCATTAATGTGCCCTGGTATCTGGCAAATTCTAGAAAAGGAAACAAGCTAGGGGAGATATTTTGTGTCTGATTTTGTAATGCATTTGAAGTTACGCTTGTGAGTCAATATGTCTCTGACTCCAAACTGTTTTTTTAAGAGACAGGTGTCACTCTGGGGCCCAGTCTGGAGTGCAATGGCACACAGCAGCCTCAAATTTGTGGCCTCAAGTGATCCCCACATTAGCCTCTCACGGAGTCAGATGACAGGCATGTGCCACCATGGCATGTGCCACCATGCCAGTCTATTCTAGTTTCAGAGAAGGTGAGAATGAGAGCTGTGTACAGAATGAGGGAGGGAAGCAGTGATGAAGATGAAGGGGAACCCTGGGTGCAGATGAGTGGTGAGTTGATTGGATGTGATGATGAAGTGATGATGTGTTGCTTCCTCTCTTTACAATGTAATTAATGTAAAATTAAATTATGCAGATGAGAATCAGGGTTACAAGACTCCTGTGTCTAAGTGTGGTGCATTTTATAATTATGGTGTCAGAGACGAGCTTCCCTTTGCAATCCATCTTCAGCCAGAGGACAGTGACTTAACTCATTAGTTGGGGATCACCCTCTTCCCTTTTCATGGATGGGATGGGGAGTGGGGAAATGAAGTAGGGTAAGAAGTGACTGAGTCTCTATTACTACATTGAATGTGATAAAAGGAATATTAAAAGTGCTTTTGTTCTCTTTGCATAATGTTTTTGTGTGTTTCTTTTTTCCTGGTTTCTCTTTTAATTAGCTTAGCTGTTTTTTTGTGTGTTTATGTGTTGTGGGATCTGGCCAGCAGCCTGCAATGCAGCGGGCTGTCTCTGTCTTCCCAGGCAGATCAGCAGGTCGAGGTGAGAGGTCGAATAAGTGGAGGAAAAGGCACGTAATCCCAACAAGAATAATTTTGTGCAGCAGGTAAATTGGCGTGAGAGGAAACTGGTGAGACACAAAGTAAAAGGAGGAGACTCATTAAATAAAACCTATTGTAGGTGAGATTGAGTGCTGAAGGAGGAAGAGAAGAACAGAGGCATGTTATTTTCAGGCTAATAGAAATGGTGAGATTTTTAGGTTTGTAAGGAGAAAAAGAAAGTTAATCAGAAGTGGGATTAGTTACATGGGTCTCCATTGCCATTAGGGGGGATTGAATTAGACCTATTGTGATTTGGTGTGCCAGCTTCTAGGGAGTTGGCACAGATCTCACCACATCTGAGGGCGGTTTGTGATGTGAATGTCTTTTCCCTGTGGTTTTCACCGTCAGTACTCACATGAAGCTTGAGTCTCCCAGTGGGTATCCAGAGAGGGGATTGGTGATCTCCCGGTGAAACAAGCATATCCTCTCCCCCACATTATAATTGTGCCAGGTTCTCAGGTATTGGTTTGGGAGTTTTTCCATAACACTTGCTTGCCTTCATTTAGGGAGAATTTTTTGCCTTTATAATGGTGTTCGGCTGCAGTTAGATTATTATCTCTAGGAACATTTAAAAAATTTAAAGTAAATAATGCCAAATGTATTTGGGAATGGGGGGTAGTTAAATTATGCTTTTGTTGTTCAGACTGTTAGGACAATCGGGTTTTTAAAGTGCGATTGGCCCGTTCCACCACAGCCTGTCCCTGAGGGCTGCAAGGGATTCCAGTAATATGGGAAATTCCCCGCTGTTGCATAAATAAATCAAAAGCCTTACTAACATATCCAGTGGCTTTGTCTGTATTTATTTGATATGGAAGCCCCATAATTGCAAAGCAAGAATACAGATTTTTTTTAAACATGGGCCATGCCTTCCACTGTTTGGCAGGTAGCCCAGATGAAACCTGAGAAGGTATCTACAGAGACATGCACATGTGACAGTCTGCCAAAGGAGATAACATGGGTCACATCCATTTGCCATAAATCATTAGGACTTAGGCCTCTGGGATTAACGCCAAGTTCCTGATTTGGAAGTACAAAAACTTGGCACTGAGGACAGCTGTGAACAATAAGCTTAGCCTGTTTCCAGGTAAGAGCAAATGTATCTTTTAATCCAGCAGCATTGACATGAGTGAGATTATGAAACTCCTGAGCTTCTTGGGTTGCAAAAGAGACCAAACACTCGACTTTATGGTTACCGGCAGACATGGGTCCTGGTAGAGTGGTATGAGATCTAATATGCATAATATAGAAAGGGTGTCTACGTTGGTGAACCGCCTGTTGTAACCTTGAAGATAAAGAAGCCAATTCAGAATTATCAATATGTTTGATAGTAGCAGTTTCTATATTTTTAGTGGCATGTACAACATAAGCAGAATCAGAGACAATATTTAAAGGATTAGGGAAATCCTGTAAGGCAATAATGACAGCAATTAACTCTGCCTTTTAAGCAGAGGTATAAAGGGTAGAAATAAGCTTATCTGCAGGACCCACATAACCAGCATTACCATGACTGGAGCCGTCAATGAACACTGTAACGGCCTCAGGAGTGGGCTGATCTGTGGTTAAGACGTCATTTTTATAAAATCAAACAATTTGTTCTTTGGATAATGATTATCAATAACGCCAATAAAATCAGCCAAGTGAATTTGCCACAGTATGGAATGTTGAAAGGCGGCTTGAACTTTGAGCCGATTTAAAGGAACTACAGTTAAATTCAGATCAAATGTGGAAATTGTAAGTATTCTACACCGAGCTTCTCTAATTACAGTGGCCATTTGGTCCAGATAGACAGACAAAGTTTTTGACACAGAATGAGGAAGAAAACACCACGCCCCTAAATCATTATGTTGAACTCTTAGTCCAGTAGGAGAGTGTAATGAAGTGAAAACCAGAGGCTGAATAGGCTGAGACGGCTGTACTCTAGATAACTGGGCGGTCTGGATTCTTTCCTCTATGAATTCCAGTTCTAGTGAAGCCTCAGGGGTCAAAGTCCTGGGATTGCAGAGATTGGAATCTCCCCCCGGCATAGAAAACAATTTAGACAGCGCATAGGTTGGAATACCTGAAGTAGGTCTTCAATAATTAATGTTACCCAAAAGTTTTTGGAAGTCGTTAAAGTTTTCAAAGAATCTCTCCTAATTTGAACTTTTTGAGGTTGAATACATTGTTTATCGACCACCATTCCTAAATATTGAACAGGAGTGGTCTGTTGAATTTTATCCTGAGCGATGTGTAATCAGCCTCTGTAACATGGAGGCTCAAACTTTGATAACAGTCAATTACTTCTTTATCAGTGGGGGCAGCAAGTAAAATACCATCAATATAATGAAGAATATAGGCCTGGGGAAATTGGGCTCGAACTGGTGAAAGCACTTGCCCAACATAAAGCTGGCAGACTGTAGGGCTATTCAGCATTCTCTGAGTAAGTACTCTCCATTGATAACGAGCTGCAGCCTCCTGACTACTGATAGATGGTACAGTAAAAGCAAATTTTTCACAGTCCAATTTATGTAAAGGAATATGAAAAAAATCTTTAAGATCGAGAACTATGAGAGGCCAATTTTTAGGTATTAAAGCAGGGGCAGGCCTGCCTGGTTGGATGGCCCCCATAGGTTTAATTACAGCGTTAATGGCCCTTAAATTGGTTACCATCTGCCACTTGCCTGATTTCTTTTTTACTAGAAACAGGGGAATTTCAGGGGGAAAGAGAAGGTTCCACATTTCCAAGTTGTAATTGTTCGGAAACCAAGCGAGTTAAAGCCTCCAGTTTTTCTTTAGAGAGCGGCCACTGCTGAATCCAAATGGGTGTGTCAGATTTCCAGTGTAAAGGGATAGGATAAGGAGGCGAGGCAGCAGGATAACCTAAACCCACCCTGTTTTATTTTACAGTAACTGGGAGGGGTTTAGTAATCCCTTCATGTTTTGGATCGAGACGGAGTCCAGGAACAAACCTCATGGTTTCCATCATATGCTGACTGGGAGCACTATACGAATTATGTGGAATATTAATTTCAGCCCCCCATTGTGCCAGTAAATCTCTACCCCAAAGATTAATGAGGACTGGAGTGATATAAAGCTGAGTTGTACCCTTTTGACCACCAGGGTCAGTGCAAGGCAAGATAAATATGCTCTCATAAACTTCCTCGGCTTTTCCAACACATGCTAGTCCCATGTTGGTGGGATGTTTAAGCCAGGAGGAAGACCATAAACTAGAGGAAATAACAGAAACATCAGCCCCAGTATCTACCAGGCCCTCGAACTTTTTTCCTTGAATGTGAATGGTGCAGGTGGGCTGCTGTTTAAAAATTATATTAATCCAATAAGCGGCCTTTTCACCACCTGAGCCAATCCTAGGGCCACGTGTCTTATTTCCTTTGTTTTAAATGATATTAGGTAGTAAAAGCTGGCCGGAATGGAAACAGGAGCCTTGGCAGATACGATTAATTTAATCTCATCAACGGAATCAGAATTAATGAGACCAGTATGAATGGTGATTCCTTTAGCAGAGGTGGATGCCCTACCTAACACCAGGCCTACTGAACCTTGAGGTAAAGGGCCAGTGACCCTTATGGGGACAATTAAAGGCAAAGAGTTACATAGTAAATTTAGAGGAATAGTACTACAGAGATCGACCTTCCCGCCCCCTACCGTGGAGGTGGACAAGCATGGTATTGAGACAAAAGGAGAGGCTGAGACCTATTTGGGTTGG